AGTAGTTTGATAAATTCGGCTTTATGGTCTACTTTCATTTTTTTTCATGAAAATGTTGTAAACTGGTTCAAAGTTACTTGAAAAGATTATTGGTTAATTTTATCTGAAATAATGAACATATGAATTTTTAATATAAAACATAGAAAAGAAAAGTTCTTTTTTATTGTCATAGTAAATTTAATAGTAATCAAAGGAATAAGGAATATGTTTATTTTCATTTTGTTTAGGGCTCTCAGAGCAACTCGTCTTTATGAGCATTCTCCAGCGATCTGTAATCAGATATTTTACAGAAAAAGAGAAAGGGGAATTCATATCATATTGCCAGGTAGAGCACACATTTCATTGTGCAAAATGTGAACATTGCCATATAAATAAAATGCATTACTGCTGTCATCCCAAGTAGTGCCTGAATTTGCCTTATAAGACTTAAGAAAACACTAATGCTAAAATATTTTAATCTCATTTATTTTCCCAGGCCGTCACTGCAGATATGGTCTGCTGGTCTCCACCGTCTACATCTCCCAAGCATTTCCCTGCCGATTCCCCCCAAACACAGATACACAAGCTGCAACAGCAGCAGATGGTGTCCGATGGGAAGCTGGGAAGACTGCAGCATTCATTGCAGATCCAGAAGGCCAAACTAGAATATCAGGAGTCTATGTTGGCGACCCAGAAGGCTCTCATTGACAGCCAGGCATCTGAGCTGGAGAGTCTAAAGACTATGCTGGAGGAAATGAGGAGGAGGCTGTTGGATCTGGAGCAGTCGCATGCTTCACAGAGATGTAACCCCCAAAGGGTAAAAGTTCAAGATGTAGCTGCTGTGCCACAGCCTCCAATGGCAAACCTCCAGAGTGTTCCAGGATCTACCTATATTATGATGCTAACATCATCTCCCTTCCAAGCTTTTCCTTCCTGTCTAGCAACTCCGGGTCAGGCCTCTCCCTCCCATACATCTATGCCTATTGAAGCCTCTCCCTCCCATACATCTATGCCTATTGAAGCCTCTCCCTCCCATACATCTATGCCTACTGAAGCCTCTCCCTCCCATAAACCCGCTAAAGTCTCTTCTGCCCATAAACCTGCGCCTGCTCAAGTCTTTTTCTCCAATACATCTACGTCCTCTCGAGCCTTTCCCTCCCATACACCTATGCCCACTCAAGTATCTCCCTCCCATACACCTAAGACCTTTCAAGTCTCTGCCTCCCATACACCTAAGACCTTTCAAGTCTCTGCCTCCCATACATCTACACCTATTCAAGTCTCTCCCTCCCATTCATCTACGCCCCCTCAAGACTCTGCCTCCCATACATCTACACCCACGTTAGTCTCTGCCTCCCATACATCTACACCTATTCAAGTCTCTCCCTCCCGTATATCTACACCCCCTCAAGTCTCTCCCTCCCATACATCTACGCCCCCTCAAGACTCTGCCTCCCATACATCTACACCCACATTAGTCTCTGCCTCCCATACATCTATGCCCCCTCAAGTCTCTGCCTCCCATACACCTAAGACCTTTCAAGTCTCTCCCTCCCATACATCTACGCCCCCTCAAGACTCTGCCTCCCATACATCTACACCCACATTAGTCGCTGCCTCCCATACATCTATGCCCCCTCAAGTCTCTGCCTCCCATACATCTACGCCCTCTCAGGTTTCTCCCTCCCATTTATCTACGCCTGCTCAAGATTCCAACCCTCCAGACCAGTCAGTAGACCGACCAGCACCAGTGTCTATATTACCAGACATCACTTTGAGGACACTATCATCGGATAGAGAGGAGACTTTATACAAAAACTCATTTTCCTGTGGACAACATCAACCAGATGTGTACGCAGCTAGCGTCTTCATGAGTCTTGTGCCGTTCAAAGCATACAACAGCATGGTGAAGAGATGCAACTGGGCAGGCACGAATGGGAAAATGGGTCTTCCTAAGAATGTCACGGAGCGGGTCCATTCTTTGGTTTCCCAGCGATTTCCCAACTTGACTGTAGACCAGTGGCGCAAGATTCGCTCTAGAGTGAACGAGCGCCTGAGGTGTCCGCGTAAATTTGACCGTGTAACACCCCGCTATGGCTTTAACTACGACTAAAATTATGATTTGAATTCAATTGTGTGTCCTGTTTTAATCCATTCATAATGAAATCTAATAAAATTCTGAAATAACGTTTGTCTGTCAATCAAAGTTTAGCCAACTCTCACTGCTGTAACTCGTGTGCTTTGGGGAGCGGGATACAAAAAGCTAACTGTTCATAATGTAACATTGCAGATGTGATTTAACATAGAACAAGTTTCTATTGGACTTATTAAGGGCTGTTGGGGTTTGTGAAGTAGAAAAAAGCAGTTAGGACGATGACCATAAGGTGACAAAAAAGGCAACAATGGGCTCCATCAGTTTTCCAGAGTTCTCTTGTTTTCTTTTAATTTCTTTTCACAAAAATGTGTACCATCAGCTCACCACTGCAGATCCTAAACATGGTCCCCTGCTCCTCAGGATAGGCAGAAACATGTACCCCATTTACACTACCCTTAAAAAACCGCGCAGAGACCGGTCCGAGCTCAGCAACTGAGATAAGTTGTGTGTAAATGGAAAGCAAACTGAACTGAACCGAGCTAGACAC